AAACGTGGGGGGGAAAAAACCGGAGAACCCGGAGAAAAATCCACGCTTCCACGGGGAGAGAGAGAGAGACACGCAAACTCCAAATATACAGCTAGGCGTCAGGGTCAGCATCGAACCCACGACCTGCTGTATACCTGGCGAGGTAGTTGATATCTCGCCATCGTGGCTAATGCCGTCCGCTTCACAGTTGATGTTAAAGGTCCCGTGATGTTGTTCAAGGCGGGCGCGTCTCGGTCGGAATTTGAGAAATTTCCTCACGAGTCACTTTTATTGGGCTAAACCACCGCAACAACGCCCTCTCTTCTCCCCTCCGCCTCTCGCTATTGGCACACTTTGCTCTGTAAAACGGTTCCCTTTCGCCAAGAACCTCGCGCTTTAAGAATAACGGGGACTAACCAAATGCACTGTCCGAAATGCTTCTCAACTACATGGTGCGGAGTTAACGTGCGAGTCTGAAAAGTAATATATTCAATTCACCCCTAAAACTTGGCGTGACGTCGACACGATTCCGTATGATTTCATTACACGAAAATAAATTGTAACAATAATGTGAACACAGCTTAAAATAAAATCAAACGGGTTTCATTTTATATGAGATACAGAATCCCAGTGCAATCCCCTGGTTAAATATATCATACATGCTCATGCAATTTAAACAGTTGCCTTCATCTCTTTTACGAATTTATTTTTAGTGATTTGCTTTCCGCTCCCACACTTTGCACTCCTATCGTGTTTTTTTTTGTGCTGTGTGTTGTTGTAACCACCTTCTGAGCCGCCCCTTCCTGGACATCTGTGAAAAAGAGCTTCATAGCTCATCGGATTTCTCCAGGATAAATACATATTATGAGTCTGATAAATTTCTCGTTTTAAAGCTTTCGTGACTGCAGGGAATCATATTCTTGGTTCTTTCGGTAAAGTCACGTAGAAGGGACATAATAAAGTAATAAATAGAAAACAATAAAATTCTCACGACGTTTCGATTGCAACACAAAAAAATATTGTTGTGGTTTTCACACCTGATGATGATTGCTTGTGTTGCAGTCGAAACGTCGTGAGAATTTTATTGTTTTATTTTTTATTATTTTATTATTTCCCTTCTACGTGACTTTACCAAAAGAACCAAGAATATGAGTCTAATAAGTGTTTACAAAACCCTTCCAATGTAGTACAATGTTTTGTATTATCTTGTGGTATTTATTAGTTCTTTATTTTTTAGATCACACGGTGGAACAGTTGTGCCAGCGGCTGGCACTGTGAACCCAACGACCCGATTCTCAGCCACAACAAACCCTTAACCAGCCAACGCTGACCAGCGTGGTGAAGTATGGTCTAACAACCCTCATCAACGCTGTGGCATGGGGAAGCCTTCCATCTAGCAATGGATTGACAAAGGGCTGTTGGTACATTTTCTCATGGTTAATGTTTATTTTCCGAACACACATCTGTAACCTGCAAAAATACGAATAATTATAAAATGCAAGATGCACAGATGATCACAAAACGCAGGGATTAACAGAAAAGGAAAGCGCACAGAACTGCAAAATAATGCAGCCGGGATCTTTTTGAAGACACATCTAGTCTAAGGAGACATCGGTTGTTTAAAAGAGAATGCTCAAAGTAGTTCCAACATACATGCAGAGTAATCTGGTGAAAACCTAAAGGTGTAGCCCTGAAATTGCTTGCTCAAACCACTGCTGCCAAGTGGGAGCACCTCGATGACTTGAGGGAGTTCTCCTCTCTCTCTCTCTGGAGGGATAGCTCCCTGAAATTGATTTGGCCTCATCCTTAAAACGTTGGCCAGGAATCTGATGAGCTACAAAGCTCGTCTTGTTTACAGACGTCCGGCACGGTGCACGGGATCAGGCTAACCACGCTGGGAGGCGATTGAGATCTCCAACACCGCTCGGCCCTGTCCTGGCAAAACTCCTGGTTTGGTGTAAACAAAGCGATCGAATAATAATAATAATAATAAATAAGTGGGACTCTTCGTGAACCATCCTGAAGGGAATTCCAGATTTCACATCCACACAGTGGAGGTTTCGTGTCCGCGTTTGCAAAAAATCTCGCCACGACGTGGCGCACTCTCGTCAGGTACTGTTGGCGCAAAGCTGTCAAATTTACAGAAACGTCGAAAAATATTGCTCAGGCTGTGCGTGTGTATATATAAAAAAAAGCCAAATGATATATACAACGTGAATAAAATTATACATTTTGCACATTTTGTAAAGTAAAAAAAACCGAAACATTCAGTAAGTGACTCGAGGACCCAGTGAGCGTTTTAAAATTCACCGATGGTCGTCAGCACCGCCGACTCGCACGCGCTGCAGCGACCGATGCAGTACAGGAACAGCGTCGCATATCCGACCATCAACAATGCCGTGTAAACAAACCCTGCCCTGACCAATTAACCGACCCCACACACACACACAGGGCAGTATCCGGGCACGGACGGTGCAACTGTTCTGTTCTGCGGGCGTTCACACGCACGTGTAAGCGCGCTCCGATCCTTGAGCACGTTCAATGACTTCCGGCGCACAGAGGAAAGCCTTTCGCCGTGTTTTGACTTTTATGTCCAACCGCTATATTTGTGCACGGAGTAACTGTACGTGAACACAGACGTTCACACACCTGACCGTCTGTTCACGTGTAGCGTAGTTCACCAGCGAGCCGGACACGCTGCTACCTTGTGCTGCATTTTTGATTCTCCTTCCCACTCCCCTACTAAGCTGCCATACATACCGGGATTGCTACACCCCCCACCAAATTCCAGACAACCACGACATCCCTCGAGGACTCTCGTGAGTTCTAAAGTCCATTTCCCAAGGCGTGTTTATCTTTTTGGCACATCTCAGCAAACAGCATTCCACCAGGAGCGTCAGAAAGAGCCACAATCCAGCTTCAGGCACATTGACGGGCACAATAAATAACAGGGCAGGCAATTAAAGTGTGCAAGCATGGGGGGACTGCGTCTAATACCGAGGCTACAGTTATTGGTGCTGTGCGTGTGCCAATTCTTTTAACCGGTCCCGGGCCTCCCCTAGGTCGACTCGGCCTCAAATGAGTCCCTGGTGTGTACACATCGCCACTGGGGAGACAAAGGTGGCCGGGCGTGGTGTTGCAGAGCTAACAGCACTTGCCCCAATAGTCTGTTAAGGCTACACGGGGGATCTTTATCTTTGTGCGTGTACGTGTGTGACCGTGTCGTGTGTGTGTGTGTTTATGCGTATATAGGTGTGTGGGGAGCCGTACCGTAGCAATAACCACGCTCTGCTACGAACCCGGCGACCCGAGTTCGATTCCCGTTAACGGGCAACACCAGCGACAATTAAATTAACTGGTCCTGGGCCTCCCCTAGGTCGACTAAGCCTCAAATTAGTACCTAGTGCGATGTGTAAACATTGCCACTAGGGAGACAAAGGCGGCCGGGTGTGGTGCTGGCCACCCCACCGTTTCAAGTGTCGTCCATGCCTTAACACGTGTTCGATAACAGAACTTGCTCGAACAGTAGGAGGCTACACGAGGGATGTTTTGTATTTGTGGATGGTTGTGTAAATGATAAATGGAAGGATGCATCAAAATGTATTCATAGATTGAACCGATTCTTACGCTCATGGTACAAACATCAGATCGCTAAATGTGGAAATTAAATACTTACAATTTATACAAATTATCTGCTCATATTACATTGAGGCAAACGCATTGATTAAAACTGCACAGTGTAGTCGAAGCAAACGAGAAACAATACAAACGCAATGGTAAAAAAAAACGAGAGCACATTGATTTTCTTTATACAATCGCGACCCCAATTTGCGACTATCCATAAAATAACGATTTAACTATGAACTAACTTTTTATACTATTTTTTTATTTTACCAGGTAAAGGCCCACTGAGCTATGTAGCTCCTTTTCAGAAGCGACCTGGACACAAATGACAGCTCGACAAAGTGGCTTGTCACGTGGAAATTTACATCGGACAAATAGTCTTAAGCGCACGTTTCGAAATGTGGAGTGGAAAAGCCGAAGGACCCGGAGAAAAATCCACACCACCACGGGGAGAGAGACATGCGAGCTCCAAATATACAGCAGCAGGCATCAGGGTCGAGGTCGAGCCCACGACCTCCTGCATATCAGGCGAAGCGGAACACATCTGGCCACCGTGGGGGTCAATAACTCCTTGATGTGTTTGTGTGTTCGTGTGTTCGTGTATATTAGCGATAGTGTGGCGGTTAGCGCTACGCTGCGCTATGAACCTGGCGACCCGGGTTCGATTCACGCTCACGGCCAACACCAGTGACGATTATCTGAACCAGTCCCGGGCCTCCCCTAGGTTGACTCAGCCTCAAAAGAGTACCCGGTGCGGTGTGTAAATATCGCCACTGGGGAGACAAAGGCGGTCGGGCGTGGTGCTGGCCACCCACCCCCTCGTGTACCGTTCCGGCCTTCATAGGTGCTCGCTAACAGCACTTGCCCCTACAGTCTGTTAAGGCTATACGGAGGATCTTTATCTTTATATATATATGCTTTTTCTATACCGTTATCCTCTCGTATATTCATTAACGGCATTCTACCGGTATCAGAGTCTGTCAAGTGGCTGCTGCATGTGACTGATTAGTCCAGATAAATGTCTGGTGAGCGTGTGCCTTGGGTGATACTTAATGAAATTCCGATGAGACCCAGAACACTGTGGTTGGTGATGGTGGTGGTGGCAAGCAGTGATGGTGCTCGCCATTTCAATTGGGGGGGCCCATAAGCAGATAATTAGGGGGGGGGAGAGATATAGTTATCAAGAAATGTAGACAAAAAAGATGTAGTGAGACGATAGCGGAGAGATGCAACAAAGAGAGACGCAAGAAATTGTTTTTATTTAGATGTTCATGTTTTTCTTTTTAAGAATCCGGGGCACATTGAGTTGCATGGGGACCCCCTGGTCAATACTTGGGTTAACAGAGCGATGGCTTGTGCCAGACAGACTGAAATATGAAGGCCTTCCAATTTTTTTTTTTGTCATCGGCGTAGTCGGGGAAAAATGCCGTATCACAAACTGGTATGCGGCACATTTTGTTTTTAAAGTCTGCAAAGGATATTTGCGCGTTTATGGCGAGCCAATGCGCGTGCCGTGTGCGCGCGTGCGTGTGTGTGGGCATGTGTGTGCCACTTATTGGCGAACGGCGGTTTGTTGTTGTAGCTTTATGGGAGTATCCAGGGACAGAGTGGTGGTACGGCAGTGCGCTGTGAACTCGGTGACCCGAATAAAATTTGTGGCCACGGCAAACTTCAGGGGTGAGCGCTAATTTTGACCAGTCCTGACCTCCCCAAACGCCTATTTCCTTCACCAACTAACACGGACCCAGGGTAGTTAAGTATCGTTTTAAAAACTAAAAACCCATGACTTGGCATGGAGTTTTTTGACAAAGGGCTGTACAATTATTACTTCATTATTATTACTGTGTATGTGAGAGTGCCTGCATCTGTGCGTAATACAGTTTAATGGATGTGCTTGTGTGCACAACGTATACACGAATGTGTCTTTGCGTGCGAGCTTCCCTATAAACATTTGGTGAAAAATATCTTTCGCCAAGGGATTCAAGAATAATGGGTACGCTCTTCAATACCTATTTCATTGTTTTCCCCTGACCTAGATCAAAGTGAGCTTTTGCATTACCAATCATATTTTATTTATCTAACCACTCCTATAAGAATGTGCAGACACACTCATTTCGCATCTGGAAACTCACCGATCAAGGCAAACACACAACCCATTTTTTGGAACACTCTCAATAACGACAATTTCAAAAAGCACGTGCAAACGAAGGCAAAGCGCTCGATTATACTCCGTGTCTATACACACACACATATGGCTATGTGAAGGCTCATTCAATAAATAATTGTTCTGTAAGTCACCGGTGGAGAGAAAGTCAAACACCTAAGCGTAACTATGGTATCACCTGCATTGTTAGTGCATTGCTGCTGATACATCGAAGGTTTGGGTGGCCCACTTCAGAGCCGCAACGTCTGTTTGCCTACTGCATTGCATTTCTGTGCATTTGAAAATTACCGGGCCGCCTAGCCAGGCACCTAGTTCACCTGGCTTTGAACATTAACCATTTTTTTCTCACAACTGGTCGTTGAGCCCCTTGTGGTTATGGTTACGCCTTCCGAAATGTACGCCTCCAACGCGTTCTTTAAATGCCCATAGCTGCCGCGACAATGAATTTGTCCGCAGATGAATTCTCTCGATGACCAAATCGCAAAGGTCGCGGAAGCTTAGCAGGGTTCAAGCCTGGGCGGATGGTGGCTGGATAGGCGACACTGTGCAAAACAGGTGTTATAGGCTTCTGGGAGGCGTACGGTGTCAAAATCCAATGCCGCGCTGTAAAGTCTACGTCACGATGCCGTCAACGAACCGCACTGGGCCGGCATGGTAAGGGTATGGGTCAAGGAACCTCCTCATCATCCAGCAGTAGATTAACAATAATAGCTGTTACACGTGCATTGCTGTATCGCAGTGCTGTACTTTATCAGAGTAAGTCAGGCATCTCAAACATTGACTCAAAACTACCAAAAAAAAAAACACCCCTCGGCTGAACCCATTTTTAAAAACCTGTGGTTAGAACACCTGGAAATTCAAAGTTTGCGGGATCGAGCGTTGGTTGCAACAGTTCAACGAATGGCAGAAGCTAGAGATGGCAAGGTGCGTGCTCTACCTTGTGACCCCTTTCACCCTCACGTCTAAACCTCATGTAAACGAAACAAAACTTTATTTTTTTTTATTTTACCGGGCAAGGTCCCACTGAGCTTTGTAGCTCTTGTTCAAAAGCGGCCTGGCCACAAATTATCGCCCAACGAGGCGGCTTGTCGCGTGTAATTTATAGCAGCAGCCAAATACTCTAAACGCGTGACGTCGATTCTAAATGTGGAGGAAATAACCGGAAGACCCGGAGAAAAAATGCACGGGACCACGGGGAGAACATGCAAACTCCAAATACACAGCAGGCATCAGGGTCGGGATTGAACCACACGGACCTCTTGTATACCAGGCGATGTAGTTAACATCTCGTCGCCCTGTAAAACTTGCAAACTCTTGACCCGCCCCGAGCACGATTGTCGACAGGATGTCCCGCAGCTTTCATAAACTTTGTCACGTGATGTGCAAATGAGCAGCAAGCCCTCTGTCACCGCCTTAGGTTGTGGACAAAGGAGGAGCAGGAAGCGGGTGGCCCCTTGTCGTGCGAGGGCTGGAGTTTTCCGAGTCGGCCCTCCGATAAAGAGATCATGTTTTATGGCTTTTCAGCAAACATCCGCACAGAGTAGCATTGTGCCAGTGCTCACGCATGTACGTGCAAACATGCGTGTCGTGTAAGTGTGCAACCCGTGTGTTTAAAGTGTAGTGTGTTCAGTGTTTTGCCGTTTCCGTGTCCGCATGTCGCCTACGCTGTCCGCTTTCGCGCATCTGTTTGCGTGCGCTGTGCGCACGTGTACGCTACGAGCGTGAATGTGTGCGTTATATACACTATGGTTTCATTGACGACCTATTCACATTCGTGAGCGTATCCTGTAGACACGGCGTAGGTGCGCGTGTATTCACATGTGTAAGCGTGTTCATATGAAATTCCTGAAGACGGCCGGTCAGTCGCGATGTGTTCATGAGCAGCCCTGAGACAGTGGTCAAAATTCCATATTCCTATGGCGGATGACCGATCTCGCGACATCACTTCAACATTCGTTGACCCTCGCAACGTTCTTCTCATCGAATTCACCTCATAGAGGTGAAAGTGACGTTGTTGATCGTGACACGTATGCGAAGAGGTGACGATTGTTACGGCGATGAGCGACATTCGTGGTGATGACGATGACGAGAGGTAGGTGACGATCATGATGAAAACGATGATGGCAATGACGATGACGACAACAACGCTGAAGGCTGCGACGACGGCGGCGGCGGCGGCGGCGGCGTGTCGACCGAACCGCCGGCCGCGACGCAAACTTCAACCCAACCACGAGTCGACCGCGTTTCCCCCCGTGCACATCCCACGCACGTGCACAACGGTCACGGACCTCCGCGGGCGACCCGAGCCTCCGCCGCCGCCCGCCGCCGCTCGCCGCCGCTCAGAGCGGCATCGCGCAGGGGTAAACGACGTGGACGAGGGGCAGGTTCACCAGCGCCGCGTTCACCACCCCGCACAGCGCCCACCGCGCCGTCGCCGAAGCCGCCCCCCCACCGCCCCGGCGCCTCGCCTCCGCGGGCCCCACCACGGCCTCCTGCCACAGCGTGGCCATCTCGCCGGCGCCCACGTGGCCGTGCGAGCTGAGGACGCGCTCGCGGGCGCACGGGTGGCGCACGGCGCGGCCCTCGCCGCACAGGAAGGGCTCCGAGCGAGGCCGCGGGGAGCCGGGGATGCGCGACGCGCACACCCCCAGGAAGACGTCGTCGATGTAGAGGTCGCGGCGCAGGGTGAGCGCGGCGCGGTAGGCGCGGCGCGCCAGCCCTGCCGACACCACGTAGGCAGCGCCCGCCGTGTAGTCCGGGTAGGCGGGCAGCGGGTAGATGTCGGTGGGCACGAAGTACTTGCTGGAGCGGGAGCGCACCGGCGGGGCGCCGCGGTGCACGTGGCCTACCCAGAAGTCCCTGTCGAAGGCGGGGGGGGGGGGGGGGGGGAGGAGGAGGGGGGAGGGGTGGAGTTGGGGGTGGGGGGTGGGGGAGGATTTTCGTCATTTTTCGTCATCGTCGCCGGCTCGCGCTTTGGCACGTGCTATGCGGGGGGCCGTTGGGGTCGGTATTCGTTTTTCTCGAGGCTTTAGGCTGCATCTGGGTATCGAATTTAGAGTGGAAATCCAATAATCCGTGTTGATATGGGGGAGGGGGGGCAGGGACCATTGTATGTGTGGATGCTGGACTTCTTTCGCACCGTACGCAGCCAACTCCGCTAAATAGAGGGTGTGCAAAAGGGGTAAATTACGAAAATAAATTGAAATATTCAAATACGGTGGAGACGGTGAGATTAGACCGTGTCCTACATGAGGATGGATGTGACAGTGCAGAGAGCGATAGGGACAACGGGAGACAGATGTGTGCACCACGTGCTGCAAGCGGTTACCTCTGTTAGAATTTCTTATTTTGATCTAAGTCTGGCCAACGACGACAACCTGTGGCGTTTTAGCCAAGGCCTCCATCTGTGGATTGTTGTCATTCTGTTCGTCTAGTTGTCTAAAGCAGCCAAAGATGTCGTACACCCTTGAGTTATTAATTGTTAGTGTGAGGAGCACAATTATGACCCTCTCCCGATATTATCTGGCCAGTGAAAAATGTTACGTACATGAGCAAACCGCACGTCCTTTTGACGTGACCGTCCATCCGTCTCCAGCCAGCCAGGAAAAAATTTGCATTCTTAAGCAGAGCTCCGTCTCTGCCCACCTTTCTCTTGCCTGGTCTGTACTGTAGATGCAAATTTATCTTGATTTCTCACTGTCTGTTTCTCAATTCCCCCGTCTCTACCCACTTCCCTCCCCACTGTATCTCACCCACTTACCTCCCCGTTTCTCTCTCTCTCTCTCAGCTCTCACCCTCGCTCTCCGTATTCCCACCTCTCCCTTTCCCATCTCAATCCTTCTTGCCCTCTTCTCCCTTAATCCTCCCTTCCCACTGCGTGTTGCCTTCCAGCGCTCTCCTCGGTCCGTTTTGCACTCTCTCTCCTCTCCGTTTCGCACCTTTTATCTCTCTCCCTGGACCCCTTCTCCTCTCCATCTTTTCCTCCCCCCTCTAACTTTCTCTCTCACCTCCATCCTCGAGCTCTCGTCCTCACCTCCAGTTCCCTTCCCCCCCCCCCCTTACCTCCAGCCCTTCGTTTTCATGCAATATAGTGGCACGAGTAGGAGAGTGGGATGCACACGTGGGTGGGTGGGGGTGAGCCGTGATGTCAGCTCGACGCACGGACCCGGCTCACTACTCCGTGGGACGCGGGCGACGTCACCATGCAGATGTGCGCGGTGACGTCGCCACCGAGCATGCTCTGTTGGGAGTGTGGCATCCAGCCAGGCAGGAATAAACCCAGGTCATCTGGCCTAAAGACATTTTACTCGGGTAGTACGATATACGTGGTGGCTATGTACGCCTGTAAGCCCAGCGCAATGGATGTGAAGGCTGGCGAATCACATGAAGATGTCAAACCCCTTTCTCATGGACGCCTCTTGTGGTCACCATCTCCTGCCTTGTTAGGGAAATGGCAGTACGGCAAGTGGATTAACTTTGATCCATTCGGGGATTGTGCTATGATGAAGAGCCATTGCCCGACACATCGCACACTATTTATTTATTCCCTTCGAAGGCCTACAGTGTTGTTGGCGAGCTCGATTATTTTTTGATTGTCCGGGGATGGAGCGTTACGCGGCCCCCATCCGTTGCGCGTGCGATTGGGTTTCCCCGCACGTGGACGCTCGTTTTAAAATGGAGTTGGCCAAATGTCGCAACGTAGGATCACAGAGATCGGGCAAAATAGCTGACACCCCGGTTTCTGGCCACCTCCAAACGTCGCCCGCGGTTTCCCACAAGCGCCCGTGCCAAAACTGCACAACGTTACCACCCCCACCCACCCCCCCCCCGCCCCCCCAAGACGCAGTGGAACATACGTGGCGCTTAAATAAAATACTATTATTATGATTCTTGTCTTTAAACTGCGTGTTCCTTGAGAGTGTTTTCGGCACTAACTCCGTGAACGGATTGAATACTGCTGGGGAGCGGGCGGGTGGGGCACGGGCTCACGTGGCGCTGGAGGGCACGGGGGTGCAGCCCGTCGCGGGCAACCCGTAGCGGGCAACCCGTCGCGTACCTGGGCACCTCGCCTCCGTTGCTGCGCTTGACGCCCAGCAGGTACCGCACCACGTTGGGCGTGTGGATGAAGACGTCATCGTCGACGCTCATCACGAAGTCGGCGTGCGGGCAGAAGCTGTCCACCCAGCGCAGCTGCGCCACCAGCTTGGTGGTGAGGTTGTAGAAGTCGTCCACAAAGTCCTCCTGCACGATGTCACCGTGCTCCGCGTCCTCCTCGCGGAGCCGGGCCTGCAGCGCCGAATTCACTCCCCCGCCGCCGCCTCCGCCGTCCTTGGGAAGCCCCACAATGAACATCACCCTCACCATCCCGCGCCCACCTTTGCCACCTTCGCCACGCGGCTCGCCACCGTCCGACGCCAATTCCGATTCGTGGCCAACGCGCCGATCGCCAGACGTCCCGCGCGTCGAGCCGTCCGGCCCGAGGGCCTCGTGCGGCCGCCCCCACGTGGCCCGGATCGCGTCGCGCCTTTCGCGATTTCCCGGCGGCGTCTTGACGAGCGCCAGCAAGAGCACCGCCTCGTCGGCTCTCCCGCACGCGTCCGGGTGGTTGATGAGGTAGGCGTGCGTGTGCGGGAAGCGCGCCATCTTGTCGGCCGTGCCCAGCGCCTCGAAGTCGTTGATGACGTAGCGGTACGAGTAGGACACGATGTGGCTGGCCACCGAGCTCTCGAGGAAGGTCGTGCGATACACGAGCGCCACGCACACCAGCAACTGGATGGCCAGCAGCTGCAGGAAGCGCTTACGCCGCTTGGTGATAGCGGTCGCCAACTGCTGGGGCCAACTCGGGCAGCCTCCAGGGAGGAGACTCATCCCGCTTGTCGTTTGAGGGCAAAAGTCGAGAAGTGGATTCGACTGTCTGCCCTGGTGTTGTGTGTGGAGACACCGCAAGGCGTGATGTAAGTTTTGCAAGAATGCGGTTTCCTGGAGGAGACGGTGGAGGGAAGGGGGTGAAACGGGGAGGAGGAAGCGTGGAGAATGAGACAAACGTACATATGTTGAACTTCTTTCACGCCATACGTAGCCAACCGTGCTATGTATGTATGTTGAACGTCTTTCGCACCGTACGTAGTCAATCGTGCTATGTATGTTGGAACTTCGTTCGCACCGTACGTAGCCGACCGTGCTATGTATGTAGAACTTCTTTTGCACCGTACATAGCCAACCGTGCTATGTATGTCGAACTTCTTTTGCACCGTACGTACGTGGCCAACCGTGCTACTCGGAGGTGCGGGAGAAGGACAACAAACTAAACACAGAGAGCAGTTCTGAAGAAATGAGTGGCGGTCATTCTGCCAGGAGTGCCGTGTGCAAGCCATTGCAGGGCTTGGCTGATCTTGAGGTGTACTGGTTTTTAGATGCATAAACTCAATATCCTGTTATTAATTTACAATAATTGCATTTCCTGGTATGGCCATCATTATAAAAGTCAACTTTGTTTCCAATTGGACCGGGCTGCTTGCAGACCTTTAGTCAGGTCTGGAAATCCCCCAATTAATTTGGCAGCCACTGTTGATGACTCACAAAGTGGCACCACATTTTATCTCACCTACGCCAGAGGCGGAGTGAAGTGATGGGAGTTTCATCGCTGAAGCCAGTCTCATACGATCGATCCACTGCACCAAATCGTAAAAGGAAAGACTTCCAATTTGTTTTGTTAATGCCATGTGTTACCTCCGGCATTAACACCGATGTATGGGCACAAATAAATGTTACTATATCTACACCAAAATTACCGTTGCCTGCAGCGTGTGTTACCTATTATCTCAATCATTCTGCAAAACATCCAATTTTCTGGATAAATTCCTCCGGTTCATAGTTTCTTTTCCACAGATAATTAGTTGTGGACCCAGATGTAGGATTTCCAGATATGGAGGTATAACATACCAGTAGCTATCATAGAAAGAAAAATATATACCTCACAATTCCTGAAGAGAGGCGTGGGTGGGGTGATCACAGCCAAACAACTGACTCAAACTGGGAACGTTTGAATGTCCCGTGAAGACTCTCCAGGTCTCCCAGCCACAGCTGTCTCAACAAAGAGGACTAACCTGGGGGGGGGGGCGGGGGGGGGGGGAAACAGATCAGGTGGCTATGCCACCACCCAGAAGCGGCAGCAATATCACCCTTTAGTCCGTATTCACTTAGTAATCAATTCACTTTTTGAGGAATTATTTGTGGGGCGGGCGGCGGGAGAGGGGGGGGGGGGCTCAGGTAAAATAGTGCCGCCCATATTGACGTGGATAAGAGGAGTTCACCTTGTTCCGATAACACTTTGGGGTGCGTGCAAAAACATTAGATGTTTCCTTATGTTTTTCTGCTATAGGGTGGGGAAAAAAATAAAGGTAAAAGCGCAGGGCTACAATTGCTCGCTCACACCACCGCTGGCAGAAGGGCCTGCACGGCAGGGAGCTCCCTCTGGCAGAGCTCCCTCTCGCGGGTGTTTTTTTTGCCTACTCTTCCACGCTGGCCAGGTGTCTCGGCAAAGGAGGTGGGCATGCCCACCACACTTCACCCCGCCGCACGTGCGAACCTGCCGATTGACGAACTGCGTGGTACCCATTTAAACTGGTGGGTGGACATAGACAGAACGTGCCGGGAGGTCTGATCAAACCAGCAACCTCTGGCACGCAGGTCCAGTGCGCTGCTGACCATTGCAACCCGGAGCATCCCTTTCTATCACGGGGCAGCGTCCATGGTGACAGCTGGCAAGTCATATTCTTAGCTCTTTCGGTAAAGTCACGTCAGGTGATGACGACCGTTTGTGTTATGGTCGAAACGTCGTGAGAATTTTGATTGTTTTATATATATTTTATTATTTTATTGTTTCCCTTCAACGTGACTATGAATTACTGCAGTCACGAAAGCTTTAAATCAAAAGCTGACAAGTCGTTTCAGCCGGCGTTCATGAACCACCGCCGATGCTTAATTCTCATTCGTATTTTACTGTGAAAGATCTGTAGATGTTGTTTTATAGCCTGTACTAGCGGTAAGTACCCGGCTGTTGCTCGGGCGAAAAAGACAGACACACACACATCGACTTACACACAGACATCGACCAACACACATAGAAACACATCGACTTACACGCACACACACTCATATGGACTCACACAGACAGACATTGCACTATCACTACAGCAGTGCATACCGCCTGTGGTGGTAGGTGCTATTAATACAGCAGTGCATACTTTGGTGGTACCTGCTTTCCCTACAGCAGTGAATACTGTGGTGTAAGTTGCTATGATTACAGCAGGGTAAGCGACAGTGGTGGTACCTGATATGATTACATCAGTGCATAGTGACTGTGGTGGTACCTGCTAGCACTACAGTAGTACATGCTGACTGTATAGCAGTATATATGGAATCTATAGCACAAAGTATAAGCAGCCAGAGTGCCGTGGTGAGGCCTAGTCCCGTGCAGAGCTCCCGGGCTCGCCTAGATTTCCCAGCCCGCCGAGGTGTGACCTTGGCAGGCTGGGGGCTGGGCCGCTCCCCCCGGCCACGCGACAATAATGGCATGTAAGTGCTATAATAATTATATGTAGGGACTCTATAGTAGTTTCAGGATGCATTGGGGTATCATTGGGGTATCACAGGTGGGGTGGGGAGAAGAGGATATCGCACTGTGAATAATTTACGTGTTTTGTGTGTTTTTGCTGCATGTGTAAGGCAAATGAAAATTAGTGGCGATTTGTGTGTGCTTTGCTAGGGGCAACCCATGTGAGTAGTGCCAAGTGTAACGAGATAAATACTTATATGACTAATTTGTGGCGCGTGTGGATTGCCAGGGGTTAAGGTAGTGGGCACTGTGCACAAGTGCAGCTGGCTGCGCTGTCAGCCCTTACGCGGCTTATAAGGGAAATAAATAACTAAGAGATAAACAAATTAAATAAATTATACAAAAATCGCCAAAAAACGCTAATTTAACTCATTTAAATGTGGCGGATGTGAAAAAGGGATTAGCCTATTCCCACCGCGGGGCTGAGGGCGTGCTGGCTGGCAGATTTTTTTATCGACGTAAAACCCCACACCGTTCGACAGCCAAATCACTCACAAACGCGTGCGCGGAGACTTATAAAAAGAAGAAAGATGTATTGTGTGTGCGTGTATACGCGGAAGTGGTAGTGTAGGGGTTTAGAACACTGCGCTACGAACCCGGCGACCCGGGTTCGATTCCCACTCACGGCCAACACCAGTGACAATAATCTGAACCGGTCCCGGGCCTCCCCTGGGTCGACTCGGCCTCAAATGAGTCCCTTGTGTGGTGTGTAAACATCGCCACTGGGGAGACAAAGGTGGCCGGGCGTGGTGCCGATCAAACACACCCTCGTGTGCCGTTCCGGCCTTCAGCACTCGTCCCAAGTCTGTTAAGGCTATTCGGGGGATCTATTGTATTTGTCTTTGATTGTGAAAGTACAATGTGCCGTCATAGTCGGCATCATCATCGTCACAAATTACACTCCCTTTGTGTCTCTTACAATGCGCGAGTGCTCAAAATAAACACCGTGTATGTTCAAGGACATTTGAGCAGCCTGCTTTGTTGATGCAAATAAAAACCCGATGCCGAAGTAAATCGAAGTGTAGGATAGTCGGGTGGAGTAGCAGCAATGGTCAAGCCAGTGCTGAATGAAGGCACTACACATCAATGGGCATCCTTTGCTCGTACGTGCGATTTGTGTCCAGTTTCCTCCCACATCTCGAGGCACGACCCCATCAAAAACGCCGGTCTTTAAAAGGCAACTCCGTGGGATCGCCATCGGCCATGATCAATCCACTGCTGGATGATGGCTTCCCATCGCTGCCAGCATCTCTCAAAGTCCTGCAATGTAAGGCATCCACCGAGGGTCCGTACTTGAACCGATGTCATCGCTCCGCCTGGGCGGTGGACGTCCTCGCGAAATTGCGTTCCATTCCCGGCACATGGCACGGATTAACATCGCATCGCAACGGATGCGATCCAGGTGAATAATAATGTTGACACCACAGGTATCAGGTGTGTACACGACACGTTATTTGTGTTGTGCAGCATAGAATGGAGCTCTGCTAATTTCTATTGGTTTAACTTATACCCACAATGCTCCACAGCAACGCATGTTCAGTTTGTATTTTGGGGAATCCTACACCACGTCGACCGCACAAACCATGGCAGTTGCTGATACCTGATGCACAAGTGGAAAAAATTTTAACTATCCGGTGTGTGCGACTGTGGTCATTCAGAACTGACCGTACAATTTTGATTTAAAGCTTTCGTGACTGCAGTAATTCATATTCTTAGCTCTTTCGGTCAAGTCACATTGAAGTGAAACAATGAAATAATAAAATATATATAAAACAATAAAAAATTCTCACGACGTTTCGACCATAACACAAACGGTCATCATCAGGTGACGGTCGTCATCAGGTGACGACCGTTTGTGTTATGGTCGAAACGTCGTGAGAATTTTTTTTATTGTTTTATATATATTTTATTATTTTATTGTTTCCCTTCAACCTGACTTTACCGAAAGAGCTAAGAATATGACCGTACAATGTATAGCGACGCAATGCCCCGATCCACAAATGCGAAGGAGACATCGCAGCGATGCATGTCGCGGGGTAACTCGCTTGACCACCTGAATGTGAAATTGTAGCCGTTGCAGAATATTTAGAGGATGTGCAAGACAAAAGTCCACTCGGTGTGCGCCAGATTAACTTCCTTGTGCTCAAGTCGTATCACAACAGCGGCAAAGGACTTGATCCACACCATCGATAAAGAGCCAGAGTCAGTTAGACCAGACAACTCTTTTTTTATCGCAGTGAGCAGGTAAAGAATTGTTATAATAACAGTTGACATATACGATTTGAAACTTCCACAATATAGGTTTTTGTGGGTTATATAGCGTAAATATAAATGTGTCGTTAAAACCGCCACCACCCGACACAGCCAATCAGTAAGGTTTGTCACGTAAACAGAACGTGCCAATTCGTTACTAGTACAGCACACCGGTGTCCTGTACTAGTAACGAATTGGCACGTTCTGTTTACGTGACAAACCTTTCTGATTGGCTGTGTCGGTGGTGGCGGGTTTAACGACACGTTTACGCTATACAACCCACAAAAAAAAACATATTACGGATATTGGTCGCGATAGCCTACGTGTTAAACTAAAACATGAGCAATAATGTTTCAGGCTTGTGACCACAAACTCGCAAGCGGATCTAAACTCGTCGCATGCACATTTTTCCGCAGTTAATTCCACAAAGATACTGGAGAAATAACAGCGGTCTCCCTTACTAAGATTCCTGCACGCACTTGCAACTGTTGATCCTCTGATGGAGCCAGATTAACGCGAAGTTCTGGTGCCAGAGTGGAATCTTTATGTGTGTGTGTGCGCGCGCGTCTTTCTAAACTCGTATTGTGAGAGTAACTCGATACGTGTGCACCGTATATACCTAGTAGCAGTTGCAAATTACTATAATACGACGAATTTTTCAAGTGTCCAAATACCAGAGGGCATCCTTCGAGGCAAAGCATCCTTGTGAAAAAATGCACGTGAACAAAGCCAAGACGCCACTAGTCTCAAATAAATCAATTCTACATTTTTCTCAGCCCCCAAAGCGGCCTGCTTTAAAGAGAGAGAGAGAGTGAGAGAGGGAAAAAACCCGGCACGGTCTGGCCGAGCCCAAGAGACTGTGGAACTGGTCTGATTACTCTGCACGTGCTGCCGAGTCGACACCAAACCCCCAACCCCCCCACCTTTTACAACTAATTTGCTGAGCAATGATTCAACATTTCTATAGGGGTGCGGGGGGGAGGTAGGGGGCTGGTGGAACGTGGGGGGGGGGGGCGTTGAGACGTTGGGGGGCGGGTGGGAGGGACGTAGAGGGGGGTGGGGGTCGGGAGGGACGTGGGAGGGTCGGGAGAGACGTGGGGAGGGGCGGTGGTGGGGGGGGGGGCGTAGAGAGGGGTGGGTGGGGGGGCGTAGAGGGGGGTGGGTGGGGGGGGGCGTAGAGGGGGGTGGGTGGGAGGGGGCGTAGAGGGGGGTGGGTGGGAGGGGGCGTAGAGGGGG